GCAGTAGCACACGTTGACTCGTGCCTGAGCTGCATTTGGCTGTTGGAAATGAAGTTGGGCCAACAACTTGCTAGCCACGGCGACCCAACAAGACGAGAGGAAAGAACGGCGACAGGACATCGGGCGCGGGGTTCGGCGGGGCGCTCCGCGCCGAGGTGACAAGGCGGCGAGACGGCGGAATCTATTAGGAATCAGGAGCGAGCAGTGCCCGGGCGGGGCGGGGCGCTGCACCCGTGACGGCTCTGATCTGGTCTGATCCGATCCCATCCCATGTTCAACTTCGACTTGTACGTTTTCTTTTTCTTTGATCGCGACCTGGTTGGCTGTCCGGGCTGCAGCTGCAAGCCCGCCCAGTGCACGACACAGAGCACAGCACAGAGCACAGCCCCCTGCCGCGGGCCGCGACCGGCCGCGGCGTCACGTCAAACGCAGCGAGCCGCGTTGTCTGGACGTCTGTCCCCGCCGGCCTTTAAAAAGGCAATACGGCCCGGGTGGGGGAGGGAGGTAGCGGTCGGGGGTTGGTTATTAGAATATTATTATGCCAGTGGTTGAGACCGTTCCGCCCACTCGTGCCCCCCCCCCCCTTTCCCTCCACGACTGGACTTCCACGTCCCCCTCCTCCTCCCCTTGCCATCCGCGTCAATCTCCGCGCGCTAATGTGCTGCATGTTAGGCCGCTCCCGCCGCCCCCACCGCCTCCGCAACGGCGGCAGCTGCGGTGAAGCTGGACGAGCTGGACCACACCGCAGCGGCGCCGCGCTGGACCGCAGAGCGGCCCGGCACCGCCCGGTACAGCCGCGCTGATAATCAGTCCCCGCCTCATTAAAAGCTGAGCTCGAGCGCGCCGAGCTCCACCTCTGTAAATCTGGCCTGAGTCTCACGACAACAAACAATGAACGGAACAGAAACGTATCTTTCAAAATCTACGAGTACCAGGTATAACTGACTCACCCCGAGCACTTTTGTAGTTATACTGTACCGCATGCACGCCTCCGTGGGCCCGACTGAGTGGGGAACCAGCGCCACAAAATAGTAAGTTAGCGTGCCCAACAGTCAACTCCGAAAGGGTTGCATCTGGGCCAGTCCAACAAAAATTAGCAGGGCAAAGGAACAGACAGTCCCCTGGACCAGGCCGCAAAGATCCCCCCTCAGTTTTTCGAACATAGCTCAAGTAGGTGCAACACTGCTAGTGCTCGCCGATCTGCTTGTCGTCTGGAGCGCGGCGTGCCTAGAGGCGTCCCTAGAGGCGTGCCTAGAGGCTTGCCTAGAGGCGTAGAGGAGTGCCTATAGGCGTGCCTAAAGGCGTGCTTAGAAGCGTGCCTAGAGGCGTCCGTAGAGGCGTCCTTAGAGGCGTCCCTAAAGGCGTCCCAACCACACCCAGGGCCCACACGTCGCGTTCGAGTTATTCGGTTACCGTATGGAGACGGGCCGCGGTCGCCTTTGTCGCGCTTTTGTCGACTTGTTTGCGCAGCGAGACGCCGCTCCCACGGCCACTCAAGAGCTGAACCGCCCTTCAGATGCAAGCAAAACACACCACTCACTGCAGAAGAGACGTATAGTGGGCTCGGGAACGGACTCAAATTTGAAAACCGCGAAAACCGTGGAGAGGAGCCGTCGCGCCGCTCTGGCCCGAGGTTGGCACGAACCGTTCCGAAAACCCGGCAGGCGTCCTCGTTTCCTCGCCTGCGCGCTGAAAGACCGACGACCCGCAGCTTCACTCCGGTGGAGATCTCGCGGAGATGGACCAGGACCCCCTGCTTCGCTTCGTGCGTCATACCTGGTGGCCTGGCCGGTCGCTCGCGCTCCGCTCCGGCCGCCTTGTTGCCGTTGTGGACGAGGGGGAAACGAATTAGGTAATCTGCTAGTCAATCCAGCGGTAATTGGGAGGGGGGGTAATCCGATGGTAATCCGGAGTAATTTAGGAGAGATGGAGGGTAATCTGGGGCTATCCTAGGGTAATCCAGGAATAAGACCGGTGTACACGAGATCTCAGAGTCGTTTCCTCCCTACGTTGTAGACCCAAAATACGCAAGCAATGCTCATTTTTATCTAAGCCCTATTGCTCCACGCCGGGCTAGGACTCCCAGAAACCATATGAGGAGAAGATGCCTGATAAAGTACAGTGCGATAACGCCCCCCCCCCCCCAACAACTACTGCACTCACTCCACACAGCGTCCATAAATTATTTGCGGCAATGTTGAGCTAATAATAAAGGTTGGGCTGCCGAGGGGAGGGCGCGGTGCCTGGGCCGCCCTGCTCCGCCCCGGCCGGCGCTGCCCTTGGTCAAGGACCTACCCTACCGCTCTCCCTGTGGACCCTCTCGACGTGCGGCCCGCCGCTGCCGCCGCCAGTGGCCGGGAGGTCAACGCGACCCCACCCCGTGCACGCTGACCTCTGAGGGACAGCGACGCCCCCCCGCCCCCGCTCGCTTTCCCACTCAGGCATGCAGACGGCGCCGAGGGCGCGGCGGAGCGCGGCGGGCGAGCGCGGGCGCTGCGGTACACCCTTCAAACTCCTCTTTCATCCCGGAGCCCCGCCCCGCCCCGGCGCTCTTCATACCCACTTCGCGTTCCGTGCGGCCCGCGCGCGTGCCGCCGGCGCGCACGGCTACTCGACTCGGCCGGGAGGATGACCTCGCGGTTCAAAGAGCGCGCGAGAGACCCGAGCGAGGGTGAAGAGGGGCCGGGCGGGCCAAGCTGGGGGCGGTTGGGGGCGACTGGAGTAGTTATACTGGCCCTCAGGGACGGTTGCCTATTGCCCAGGGTGCGTGGATGAGTGACGGGTCCGTCGCAAGGAGTGGGGGGATCCGTGGTGACAGTGGTGGGGGTACGTGACCGTAGTGGTGGGGGTTCTCTCTCGTGGCGTGGGGGTGCCGGTCGGGTGGGGGTGTGACGTCACGCAAAATGCGGCGCCTCGTCCGGGAATCGAACCCGGGAAGCTGCGGTTCTGGACGGTACTCTAAACGGTCACGGCTGTTCGGCGCTACACGGTAAACGTGTTCGCGGACGCGTAGTCATTCTCGAATAGGGCAAATTCTGATGCCACACACAGTACGTCAGGTTGCCTACCTAGCCGGCGCACCGTGGGTACCTGGCTGCCATCCTCCAAGGGTGTGTTGCGCTCTATCAGTTTTGGGGATAAGTGTAACATAAAAAACACGACGAAAGATGGTTCTTTTCTTTATTGTTTCAAAACATACAGGATACAATGCTGGTTTAATACATAATTCTTACACTAAAATATCGTGCGTGCCGAGAGGAGATTCTTCACCTACACAAAATTTGTCACGTAACATTATAGTGGACTTAATTTAACAGGTTTTTAAAATTACTTCTTCCTCTTTGTACAATTTTGCTTGTTTGCATTGACGATGAAATCGTCACAGAATGTATAGTTACACGTATAGCGGTCAACCATATACTGTACAACAGCATCATTTTTCTCTACGTTTTGATCAAAGTACATGTTAAGAAAATCACTGAGGCTATAGCCGTGTGCCTTATGAATAAGATACAGCAAACAATAGTGACCGCAGACGGTCGAATCAATGGCTTGAAGAGATACAGGGTTGTAGTGCCAGATTCTGCATACTCTGTTAAGAAACCTAAGGTGGTTTCGTACAAAAGGCGCTAAGCCGAACGAACAAAAAAATTCCCCTGTTCCGTTTTCGTCAATGTGTATAGCCTGCCAATGTTCTCCCGGTTTCGAGAGCGGGTCGGTGTTGATAATGATGAGTGAAGGTTTGCGATGAAGATGGCGTGGTAGGTTATCTGCTGCAAACACACCA